ATGCGTATAAACCTTTCAAATTCCGATTTTTGTAATAATTCAAAAGTTATATGACTGTCATGAAGTTCAAGTAATCATTAGCTGATGATGAATTTGAATGAGAGAACTTTCATGAAAAGACCGTCTAAGCAAATGAACCAGTTTATCTGCTTCTTGAGTGCCCTTTGCGGTCGCTTCTGTAGACATCAACTCCTTTTCAGGCTTTCCTTCACTACCCTCTATAAATGATATCGAATCTGATGAGAGCTGAAACGTTGAAAGAGCAGCTGTGTGTAGATCAGTAGATGTACTTATGGTAATATTTGCACTCGTTGCGCTGTCTCCGGTTCTGGAGATAGCTCCAGTTTGCATCCTTTTTCTTTCGTCTTCCTCAGCTTTCATTGCATCGGTTGTTCCACCTACTAAAAGTGTTGAACTGAAGTTAGCGTGGGACTCGATCGTATATTGGTCACTACTTAGCGAGTGAAAAATTTTGTCTGTACTTGCGAATGCAGATAATGGCATCGTTTCGGTGAGTCCTTTCGAGGCTTTCAAGCTCACAACAAACTTGGAGTCACCTTCTGTAGAAATATGTAATGAGTAATCTTCAGGATTTATAGGGCTAATTGTTTTAAGAAGGCGTGACATTGTTGAATCAAGCGGCTGTAAGTCGAAGTCGTGCACAGAATTAGTTTTTCCTTCCAAATGAGAAGAAGGCTGAGTAGTAGTGTAGCTTTTATGTATTGAAGATGTTCGTGCTGCGTAATCAATGGTATCCTGAGATGCTTTAGAATGGGAGTCAACACTCAACTTCTGATGACTCAACGATGTTTCTACTGTATGCATACCGCCAAGATGAGACGTTTCAGAAGTTACATCTGCTACTTTTTCTGTGTTATCTTCTAACAAACCATAAGTATAGGGTTCTTCAGACGAATCTTCAATAAGGTATGGCTCAGGAGAAGTTCCAGAAAAGGGTTGCTTTGGCGAAGTTCTGGTATATCGTTTCTCGGACGCGTTTTCATGGAATTTCACGGACGAGTCATCAGTGTATGGTGTATTTGTTTCCAGGTTTCGAAACTCAGACTTGGGCGAGTTGCTCTGACTTGCAGCAAAAGCCGTTTGCTTCGAAGGTCCAGACACTTCTTCAGACTTATTTGACTCGGGATGAGTCAGCGTGGATTCTGGAGTTGGGACAGATGTTTGTACTGCTTTTAGTCCTGCAATAATTTGAACTTGTTACCTGTGCTTGTGCTTGGAATAGAATCCGTCAATGTTGCAATGTCAAACGTTGATTTCGTCGTCTTTTTTAAAGTGATAGTTGATGGCACCTTTTGCTCAACTGTTTTTGACGCTGTAACACTTTATACTACAGGTTTCAATGTACATTCTGCTGACAAGCCCTTAAATACTCCTAGTGGAATGCTAAAACAGTGCAGTCCTTTCTTTTCTTATTATCTTTGCTTATTCTTGAATTGACTCGATTGCTTTACACTCAGCAGTACTTACTGAAGAATGGATGCAGACGTTTGCATTTCCCTCCTCTTCACCCTCTTAGGGGGCTCGGCAGCGGATCTTGGGTGGCGGTGGGGGGGAGGAGGGAGGAGCTGCAAATCCTTTTCGGGGAGGCAGGGAAAATGCCCGGAAATTCAAAGGATCGTGTTATTTCTTCTATTTCCGCCTTTCTTAGTATTTTACAACTGCCTCGTCTACGACAACTACCTTCAAACATCAAACTGATAACTGTTCTGAATAGTTTATCTAAATACCTTTATCTGAGGAAATAGCGGATGAACGACCTCAAAGTTTGGTAAAAGATGCGCACTAAGGAAATCAGGGTTTGTATGCAAATGCGAAAATCTATGAGATTAAAAAATCGTAGTACGTTTTTTTTTTTTAAATTTGGCTTTTG